ATAAGAATAAAAAAAAAAAAAAGAATGGTAGCCTGCCCTCTCTCTCCCATACCTTCCAAATACCTCTGAGAAGCAGGGAGGCTGTTGCCAGACCTCATTCACAGACAAGCCCTTACTTGTCCAGGAAATGGAAGTAGCTCTGTGAACCATCAGGGCTGCAGGGGGCCCTTGCCAGAACACACTGGGAACGGCTGGTACAGGCTCTCTCTGCACAAGGCTCCCTTATCTGTTGCCACATGCTTTCTTCCAAAAGACTGCATTTCCTAACAAGCCTCCAGTGAGGAAGGACCTGAGCATTCTCCCACTCCAAGACAAATGGCTAAGTTGGGGCTGTTGGCCCAGGGGCGAAGTGAGCGCATCTCTGAATTGAGGGAAAAACAACTTCTTCTCCATTGGAGTCACGCATCACCTTAGGCTGCATGGTGAGCACAGGAGAGGCTGCTCTGGGCTGTGTAGCCCCTGGCCTGTGACAGTGGGTGTGCTGTCCCACCAGCCTGGGCCCTCTCGCCCCACATGGGTGGTCTTTGTTGCCCTGCGCTCCTTTAGTTTGTGCTAATAGAAACATTGAAATACTGTTTCCACGCTGGACACATGGGCAAGAAGTTTGCCTTTGGTGACAGAGCTATTTCTACTCACATTTCTGGCACCAAAGGCACACCAGCCAATTTCCCCACACCAGCCAATTCTCCATCCATGAATAATTCTATTCAGACTGTCTTTGGAGTTAATGCAGACCACAGAGGTTAAGGGCTCAGTCCCACAAGGCTCCCCCCACCCACCCTCCACTTCAGATGCAATAGCAAGTCCTAGGCCTCCTATATTTCTGACCAGCTGACTACCAACTGGGGGTTCCCACAAGCCCCCTCCCCTAAATAATTTGCCCGAATAGCTTTCAGAACTCAGGAAGGCACTTTATTTACTATCACTATTATATTATAAAAGATACAACTCTGGAACAACCAAATGGAAGAGATGCAGAGAGAGAGCCTCCACACGCTCTCTAAGATCTCCACTTCCCAGGCCCTCCATGTGTTCACTACCCAGGAGGCTCATTGAATCCATCATTTAGGGTTCTGGGAAGCTTCCCTACACAGACGTTAATTAATTAAATCTTTGGCTGCTGGTTGAACTCAATCCCCAACCCCCACCCTCCCTGGAGGTTGGAGAGTGGGGCTGAAAGTTCCAACCGTCTATCACATGGTTGGCTCCTCTGACAACTAGCATCCATCCTGAAGCCACTGGGGACCTACCGATAAGAGTCCACTCATTCACATAAACTCAGGTATACTTGAAAAGGGGGCTTATCGTGAATAATGGAAAGATGCTCATCTCATCCCCATCACTCAGGAAATTCCAAGGGTTTTGAAAGCTGTGTCCAGACCGGGAACAAAGACCAAATACTGGTTTCTTATTATCTATTGACCATGAAGGTCACTGTGACTCAGCCAGCCACTCATGCACTTGATGATACGTGTCAGGCTCTGCAGCAGCCACTGACTTATGGCTGACACTTCAGTGTGAGGAGTTGTTAAAACACATGAGAAAGTAACTTGAAGGAAAAAACAGAAGGAGGAGGGCTGAGGGGAAGATGGCAGTTTTAAATAGATGGCCAGGGAAGGCTACATGGGGTGGTATTTGAGCCAAGACATGAAGAGATGGGGAATGAGCCACATGGATCGAAAGCAGCACTTCTCCAGGCTGGAGGAGCAGCATGTGCAAAGGCCCTGGAGTGGCTGCTGTGTTTAAGGAACTAGGAGGAGGTTGCCTGGCTGTCCTGATAAGGGAGAGTGGAGAGAAATAAGGTCCAACAGGCAAGGGCACAGGGAGAGCTGGCTGGAGCTGCTTTGAGGCTGTGGGCAGGTCTGCTGGTGGAGATGGGAAGCTGAGTCTAGGGGTGGGTGGTAGGATATCGACATCTGTTTACCTCTGGAGCTCTCTTTTGTCATTCTTCCAAGCAAGGGTTTAATGATCTTAGCTGTGTGAGCTTGACAAGCTGTCTGTTAGGCCTCTGTTTCCTCATCTGTGACGTAAGGAGGTTGCAGGCCCCACCTCCAAAGTGGCTGATGGGACAGAGTAAGGCCCTGCATGTTTTGCGCTCCACAAGGGCCGGCGGAGAGTAAACAGAGTAAACAGTGTGAACCTGAACCCACTGGGCTACATCAGCTGAAGGCTGTTGTCATCCAGGGTTGAGGGCCATGCCATCTCTAGCCACCTTCACACTTTGGGTTTCTCTCCCTTGACCTGGGCCCACAGTGCCATGGCTCCTGAAAAGTTGCTGTTGGCATGTGTGGTGTTGATGAGCACCCAGACTCGGGTAAGTGCTGTGCAGGTTTCTTGTCCTGCCTCACCTTCCAGGTCAAGGTCTCAAGTCACTGGGAAAGGCCCCAGGGGCTGTGTGGCCCAGGTGCTGAGTCCCCTAACCATTGTGTTTGTGCTTTTCTTTTGCCCCAGCAGTGAACCTCCATGAGCTGTGTGCCAGCAGAGTATCGGAAATCCTTCGAAACAAAGTGCACAGAACGGAAGAAGTGAAGGATGTGGATTTTTATGCTTTTTCCTACTATTACGACCTTGCAGCAAATGTTGGCCTCATAGGTAAGGGTGGGGCCGAGGTGTAGATTCTCTGGGCAGAGGGCCCACAGCAGAGAGTAATCATGTTGTCAGTCACTCTCAGAGTAACAGAAGTAGACAGGAGGGCAGGTGCTTGTCATCTATATAGGAAGTAGTAAGCCTCCTTTTTATAAATAAATCAGGTCTTTGAGCCGCTTAGTAAAGTTACATTGTCAGTGCAGGAACAGTTACTTGCTGTCAAGTTGTTCTGCTCTAAGGCAGAACTGACTCACCTGTGTAACTGACCCTTAGTTGTTCCTGTCTGGCCCCAGGTCTCTGGCTGAGGGAGCCTTTGTGACATGGTCATGTGGCCATCTTTCCCCATATGGCACCCAGGCTGGCATGGGATGGGGTCAGCGCACTCCACAGACCACCCTCAGGAGCTTATGAGCACTATGGTATCTCAGGGCTCACTGAGCCACCTGCTGCCTGGGCCCAGTGTGCAACACATCCAGCCAGGGGTGGGTAGTCCAGGTGGAAGGTGACCTCTTCACCCCTTGCTTGGGCCCAGGTGTCTTTGGCACAGAGCAAGGTCCCTGGGGTACGTCCCAGTAGCTGGCCCCACAGTTACTTGGCCTGCTAGGCCTGAGGCCCCCTGCGGGCTTCCCATAGCTGGAACAAGGGTTTGTTGATCTGTACTATCAGCTATGGACATCACAGTGCTCAGGGTCTACTACACGCAAACCCGGCCTGGCAGTGTGCTGGGGGCTCCACCCTTTCAGGCTAGCTCAGAGGGACCCCCCCCCCAGTATCACCTTGTCAATTTGGGGCCCCTCACCCTGGCTTTAACCGACATCGTCCCAGAGTGACCTCAGGAGATGCTGGGCTGTTCAGAAAGCTCTTCCAACTCCCTTTTGTGGTTACACATGGCTCTGAAAGAGCTCTTGGGTCTGTTTTCAGAAATGGAATCCATCTTCAACGATGACATTTGCTGACTCAGCAAATGCCCAAAGTCGAGGAAAAGTCAGTTCATTGAGCAGCTGCCTCGTAACGAAACATAAATGTGTGGGACAGCTCTATCAAATGTAGAGGTTTTGGGGTGCATTGAAGAAACAGTTGCCATTCTTGAGAGTTGGGGAACACAGCTTTCATGCCTCCTTCCCTGGGAATGTCACAGAGGCCTAGGGCCACTCTGTTCTGCTCTCTTCTGGGGAGCCCTTAAGGGCTCTGCCCATTTGATCTGAGACCTGACAAACCACTTCTTGGCGTTTTTTAAAGAATTTTTTTTTTCCACATTCAGAAAATTTATACCAGAATACCATTGCTGGACTCAGGGCCATAGCTCGAGGAAACATGTCCAGTTCTTTGCTTTTGTTTTTTTAACTTAAAATGCAGAGATTGCTCAGTCTGTGGGGTCCAGGGCTCCTGGTGACCTTCCTGTGAGGGACCCTCGAAGACCCATAACTGCTAATCATCCCCATGTGGTCCTGCATGGAACACTTGCCCACCCCCCGCCACATCACCTCAGACACATGACCAGTGCATGTGGGGCCGCTGCCCTGCTTACACCCAGGCTTGCAGCCAGGCTGGACACACTGCCCCATGTCATCCTCACGGGTGCCAGCCTCAGGGCCTTGGTGGCATCGCTGCTCCAGGGATGCTGGTGCAGACCAGGTGCTTGGTCTTGTCCCACAGATGTGGAAAAGGGAGGCAGCCTTGTCGTCGGAGACTTTGATATCGCGGCCAAGTATGGTGAGTAGTGGTTGACCTTCCGGGTGAGAAGGGCCAGGGTGGGAGGCAGGGACCCTGCCCCACCGTGTGGTAGATGCAGCTTAGTACTTGTGAGGCAGTACTGGGAGCTTCCAGGTTTGGTTCCTGATTCAGCCAGCCGGACGAGTGTTCAGAGGTAGGGGAGGGTACTCGGGGTCACTGCTGGGCCCAGGCCACAGGTCCACCATGTCCTGTGTGACCGCAGCAGGGGGAGGGGGAGGGGAGCCTCAGTGTCCCCAACTCTGAAAGTGCATATTTCTAGTCCTAGGGTGTTAGGAATGGGCTCTCTGGATTTCACATCTTCTGACACTTCTTCACTGTAGCTCAGGTGATCGTTACAGGGATTTCCCCTGAAAGTGTCCCAGCAAATTCACAATGGTCACAGCAGACCCAGCGTGTGGGGGGTGAGGAGCTCTTCCCCTTGAATTTGCAGGGGGCTGACCCTCTTCTTCTCCTTTGTCCATCACAATCCAGCCTGATGGGGAATGAAATGAAGGCTGGCTGTAAATATTCTGCTCTTTGGTTGCTGTTCCCAATTACAGATCAAAAGAGTTAAACTTCATATGTTTCTCTATAGAAAGTCCTTTCCCCCTCCCTCCCCCCAAGTGGATTTTTTTTTAAGCTTTCTTGTCACTTATGGGTTTATCCCATGGATACCTGGTGTCCACGACTCTTCAACAGGAAAAGGTTCTGAACAGAATTTTGGGAAGACTGTTGGTGTGTTTGTTCATTTGCCTCAAGAATAGTAGAATGTTCTGAGACAGCTTTGTCGGTATTTACATTCCCCAGAAAGCCCAGATTCACACCTGGGAGAGGTGTCCAGAGTCATGGGTGCAGAGCTCTGCCCTGTGAGACTGTGGTCTTCGGCTCATGACACCAAACCAAAACATACAAGTCCTTCTTGGTTTTGGAGGCCAGGCCCAGTGGAGGCTGGTTGGCCTTGAGACCCTACCTTTTGGTGTGCTCTTGGTGAATCACCTTCCTGCTCTAGGCTGTAGTCTTGTCTAAACCAGTGAGAACCAATGAGGACCTGGGGCCAACACAGAGCCTAATATAGGGTGGGCACCTGGAGTGGGCAGAGCCAGTCTGCCCAAGCCCCCCCCCAACCCCCCTCTCCCCGCCTGGGAGCGAACCACCTGGAATCTGATTGGGAAAGGGCTCTCTCACCCCAGTGTGCCGGACGGCGGAGACCCGGCCGCAGGGCAACCCCTTTCTGTGCATGGACCTCACCTACATCAGCCTGCTGCTCCAAGAGTTTGGTTTCCCAGAGAACAAAGTGCTGAAGGTACGGACTGTCTCTAGGGTGCCCCTTGTGCCCTTTATGGCCTGAAGGGCTGGGGGCACTGCTTCCAATCTCCCAACCATGCTCACTCTGCCCCTCCCTTTGTGTTTCAAGCTGACTCGGAAAATCAATAATGTTGAGACCAGCTGGGCTCTGGGGGCCGTCTTTCATTACATCGACTCCCTGAGCAGACAGAAGAGTCCAGCCTTGTAGCGGCCAAGCCGCTCCCAGCCATCCTCACAGAAGCGGCTCCACCTCCATGAGAACAGACCTTCGTGAGAATAGACCTTTGTGAAACCCCTTGACATGTTGGGAGGAAGCCACTGCTCAGGCTGCCACCCCTCTCCCCTTGGCCTTGCAGACCCTTCTCTGGACAGGCAGAGGGCTGCAATGTGACCCAGGCCCAGCGCCTTCTGCCTTGGCTCCAGGTGAACAGTGAACCAGACAGGCAAAGGGCACATGCCAAGGCCAGGGTGATGCAGCCAGGCCATCCCCCACCTGTCCCTGTCTGCAGGGTTGGAGTGGTTATAAGGTGTTTCTGTGATAGGAGTCTTGTTTTATCTCCCTGCCCCTGTCTGGTCTCCTCCCATCCCCAGGGCAGACCTTCACCTTCTCCCCAGAGACTCAGTGGGGAGGTTGTACAGGCTGTCCTGGCTACTCTCAGGGTGGGCCAAGTGGCAACCACCATGCCCTCTGGGACAGGGGGTCTGGCAGACTTGAATGTGTTTGCCTCCTCCTTGGATGTGGATGTGTGAGGTCATCCAGAGGTCGGTTTTTTCAGGTTCTTGGACGGTTTGGAGCTAACTGTCAGAGTTGGCCCTGTGAGTAGGAAGAGGGGCTGGGGGAAATACCTCTCGTGTGCCCCAGCCCTACAGAGGAGGTCCAAATGTGAGCGTGAACTGCTTACAATATTTATGGCTGTGCTGTGTGTGACGTCTCCGTCGTGTGTTGCTGAGTGTTCGTGTAGCAACTGTGTTCTGAGCCCCAGTGGATGTATCGCTACCATGAGCCATTTGCAACTGAGCAGTATTGAAGACGCACACCACCTCATTGTGGGTCAGGCAGGCTGCAGTCCCTGGGACCACCTTCTGGCTTTGCTGGGGTGCGGGGCCATTGCCCATCCCCTGGGAGCTCCACTGGACACTGGCCCACACTCCTACATTGGGGTGTGAGCTCTGTGAGACCTGGGCCTCAGGGTCACAGTCGTTCCTGCAGTAAATGTATGGTACATGGAATAAGCTAAACATCATGTGTTCCACTCAAAATAAAGAGTTTACAAGGGTTTCTGGTCTGGTGACTCCTCTCAGTGAGTGTCAGCAATGTTCATCCACCTCAGCACTGGGGGGAAAGCCCCTGAGGTCCCTGTTCACTGTAGTGGGAACAAAGAACTGCCCAGGCTGGGTGACAGGTGGCACATTAGGTCTTCTCAGTGCGCCTTTTGAGGAGACAACCACAGAAGGACACATGGTGGCCACCCTCAGGCCCTCCTATGTCCCCGTGGTGGCAGGCTCTGTGGAGGCCCAGGCCGTTCCAGGGGAGCCGCTCGCCTTCCCAGTGGAGCTCCCATTCTCCCTGGGACTGACCCGCAGCATCTGCAGCATGGTGTGTTCGGTGAGGACCTGGCTTTAATCTGGGACAGCTGGAAAGGGGTCGCACACCAGAGAAAGACTGGGCAGGAGCACAGGACCTGGCCTCTTGATCGCCCAGGGCCACAGCAGGACCACGATGGACATGACTGCCAAATGAGCCCACGAGTGGAGGCTTGTTGGGGGAAAAGGGCTCTGCAGAATACTGCAGGAGGTTGGTTTCACTCCTCACCTCCAAGAGCCCTTCATCCCCACAGGTGGAGGCAGGGAGGGGTCCAAGCGTAAAACCTCCTTTGATGTTGGAGAAGTGCTATGCCCACAGGACATGACAGGGGAGCATTTCTCCCCTTTTCGGAGGGTCCTAATCCGGTGGTCTGATCATCACTGCCCCAATTCCAGAATGCTGGAGGGAAACACCCCCCCACCCCGGGCAAAAACCACTGACAAGATGAGACTAACCACCCTCCGCCCAGTGGTTTCCCCAAAACTTAAACCCTGGGGCAGAGGTCTGGAGGTGTACATGTGAGATGAGCAGAAAAAGACAAAGCAGGAGAGCTGCTTCCCCTAAATAAAAAACCACCTTTGGGCTGCAGCTAGGAAACCTTTGCTTGACAAGGGCAGGAAAATCCAGCAGCTCATCACCCCTGCCTGGGTCTCCTCAGCCTTTTCCTTCCATAGTATCTAACAGTTTTAAATATTTAAAGAAGTCCAGAGTCCAGGAATCAAATATGTATGAAGGTAAAAGTGAAAATTGATTTGGTCCATTTATAGGTTAGTGATCTCACATCTGAAAAAATGGAAACAACTGGAAGTTTCCCAAAAGATCACCAAATAAGTCATGGAATATTTTTAGGCCCAGCAAAGTATGCAAGTCATTTTGCTCTGTCTTTTGTGATTATAAATTAGGCTCTTGTTTTTTAAAAAAGTAGCTACATATGCACATCCGAACATGTAAAAGATGCAAACTAGGGATATGGTAAGAATTTCGCCACCTCTGGCGAAGACGTGTGCATCTCTGTGCTCAGATCTTCCTGGCACACCACACACACTGCCTCCTGCCCACATGTCCTGCACCTTCCTGTTCTCAGAACAGCTACACTTTCGGCGTGCACTGAGCTGCCTCTGTCTTGCAGTGGCTGGTGGCAGTCCCGCATCTGGATGACAGGACCCCCATGGCATCAGGTGGTTTCCAGTCCCACATCCCTGTGCATGAGCCCTCCTGATGTTGCCAGATCCAAGGGCTGGAGCATTTTAAATTGTGACCATGTTGTCAGTTTTCCCTTCAACTCCACAGGCAGCTTCCCATGCCAGCTTCCCTGAGCCCTCCTTACCAACAAAGCTACAGACCACCCTGTTTGCTCTGCCTCACTGGCAGGTAAAAAATAACTGGTAATTTTACTGTGCACCGATCTAATTCATCTTGTATGTATGTCCAAGAGCATTTCCTTTTCAATGAAACGTCTGTCCATGTCCCATACCAATTTTTCTGAGAGACTGTGGTCATTCTCTTCCTGATTTTAGGAGTTTTTTATACTTAAGGAAATTAGCCATTGTGATAGAAAGTGTTGCAAATTTTTCCCCATTTTATTATTACTTTTTGACTTTATGGTGTTTTCTTCAATGCACAATTTTACTATTTTTATGTATTTAATTTACATTTTTATACAACTTTATCATGATCATAATTAGAAAGGCTTCTCCACTGAGATAGTTCTAAAAGTTAACAAAACAGTGTTGTTGGGTTTTTTTTTTTAATTACTTTAAGAACTCCCAGTATATGCTTATGAATATCCTCAGGCACAGCAAATTATTGTTTCAAGATGGATTTGATTTTTAGAACCATTTCAGAGTCACTGGAGGGCAAATATGATATTCAAACTGGGATAATACCATTTTTGGATAAAATCAAGGCTGGCTCTAAAGCACTGAGGCAGTTTCGGAAGGGCTCTTCCAGAAGTGTGCAGAATCATAGTGTCGGGAAGTCTCCCAGGGAAGCCACATGGCACGTGCAGCGTAGTAAAGCTGTTTTCATGACTTATTTGGGGAGCACGAGATGTGAGGAATGATTGAAGCGGGGGCAGTCAGGTCATGCTTACGGAGGAAAAACCTCCTCCTCCCCTGCTACCCACTCAGCCCTCTCAGCTCGTTACCTCCCTCTGACACTAGACATGCAGGGTCTACCCCAGGTCCAGCAATGCTGTGACACCAATTGGGTGGCCTGACACTGTCTACCTGCAGTTAGTGCAGACCACACATGTGCCCCCACCCCCACTTCAGGCACCAGGCACAAATCCAGCTTATCACCTGTGCTTCTGACCAGCTGGCTCTACGTCAGTGGTTTCCATGACCCCCTTCTCAGATCTGATAATTGCTGAAGAGGCTCACAGAATTCAGAAGAAAAATTTACTTACTATTGTTGATTTATTGCAGAGGATACAAATGAACAGTTAGATGGAAGAGACACATAGGACAGGACATGGAAGAAGGAGTCTGGAGTTTCCATGTCCTCTCTGGGCGTGCCACCCTCCTAGCACCTCCATGTGTTAACTAAACCAGAATCAGGGCGCCTGGCTGGCCCTGCCCTGCTGGTAGAGCATGTGACTCTTAATCTCGGGGTTGTAAATTCCAGCCCCACATTGCATGTAGAGATTACTTAAAAATAAAATCTTAGAACAAAAACCAGAAGCTCTCAAAACCCCTACTTGGGATTTTTATAGAGGCTTTATTATGTGGGCTTGATTAAGTCATTGACTGTTGGTGATTAGGTCAATCTCCAGCCCCTCTCCCCTCCCAGAGGTCAGGGTTAGGGGAGGCTGAGAGTTCCAACCTGCTTTTTTTTTTTTTTTAAGATTTATTTATTTATTTTAGAGAGAGAGTGCAGAGGTGGTGGGGGGAGGCAGAGGGAGAGAATCTTCAAGCAGACTCCCCACTGAGCGTGGAGCCTGACTCGGGACTTGATCTCACAATCCATGAGATCGTGACCTGAGGTGAAACCAAGAGTCGGACACTCAACTGACTGAGCCACCCAGGCGCCCCTAAAAGTTCCAACCTTCTGATTACACAGTCGGTTCCCCTTGGCAACTGTCCCCCACCCTTTGGTCACCTAGGGGCTCTCCATAAATCACCTCATTAACGTAAATTCAGCTGTGGTTGAACGGAACCTGGGACAAAAGACCCAAGTATTAAAACAAAAGATGCGCCCATTACTCTTAATGCTTAGGAAATCCCAAGGGTTTGGGGAGCTGTGAGCCAGGAGCAGGAATGAAAGCCAAATCTGTTTCCTGTTACAAATCACATGCACAGTCCTGGAGAGAGAGGCTTTAGGGTGAATGGTACTCTGACAGCATCTTCAGTATTATGAGGATTGTGAGACCCTGGCCTTGCCTGTGTTACTGCAGAGGCCAGAGCTCAGACATGTGGGCACAAGTTACAGGGAGTATTTTCAGGTTTCTGTGTAACAAGGAAAGATGTCCTAGAAGACAAGGTCTTAGTCGTGTGCATCCCTGCCCTGTCAGCACTCAAGGGTGCTCAAGAAGAGATTCCTGCCCAGATAGGAGGTCAGGATCAGGCACCTGCAAGGCCTCTTCACACTCCAGATCTTTGGATTCGCCTTGAAAATGATCTTAAACATAATGACCAGGTAAGCATACTTGCATGTAATGTCCCTGAATTTTGAGTTGAAATAATGACAGTGGCCTTTGTTGTGGAGTGCTTTCTATGCATCAAGCACGGGTGATTCCATCTTTGTGGCAGCCCATGGAGCAGGTACTGATCGGATATTTAGAAAAGTAGTTACACAGTCAAGAGAAATTAGACCTAACTGCCCCTTTATCTAATTTTGACATTTTGACATTTGATTCCTACTTTTCTGTGTTACTGATTGGTGGATAAAGGTTTCCGCTTAAGAGCTTAAGTGCAGCTCTGTAAATCTGCATGTCTGCCTCCGGATTTACATAGCGCAGAGCAGACATCCCCCTATATGGCCTCCTGCCTCTCAAGGTCAGAAGAGCGCCAGAGCTGCGTTTTATGGTGTGGAACACAGGGCAGTGGGATGGCTCCAAACAGCTTCCAAGGTGTGAGGTGCTCAAAAAACCAGCTTCGTGGTTTCCCGGATCTATCTGGAGGTCAGCTAAGGATCAGATGGTTTTGCAAGTAAAAATGCCAAAGTTCAGGGGGCTACAGGGCTTGTCCTAAAGCAACAAGGAGAAGTGGGAATGTAAACCAGGGCTTTCAGCTTGCTGGGGATGAAGAGGTTTTAAGGACTCTCCATACACTGGAACATTATTTGCCAGTAAAAATAAAGTACTGACATCTGCTGCATCATGGCTGAACCTTGAAAACATCAGGCTAGTTAGTGAAAGAAGCCAGACACAGAGATCCTATATTACATGATTCTGTTCATATACAGTGTCCAGAACAGGCAACTCGATAGTACAGCAAGCAGATTGGTGGTTGCCCGGAGCTGGGGTGAGGGGGAGAGAATCGGGAGTAGATGCTGAGTGGTCTGGGCATAGGGTTTTGGGGGGGTGGTAGGAAGGTTCTAAACTTAGATTATCTTGGTGGGTGTGCTTGTCTGCAGATACACTAAAGACCATTGAATCATGCACTTTTAAATGGGTAACTTTATGGTGTATAAATTATATCTTAATACAGCAATTTAAGAAATGAGGACTGGAGGGGTGCCTGGGTGGTCAGTCG